TAGGCATGGTGGTGCACACCTGTAATCCCAGCTACTCGGGAGGCAGAGGCAGGAGAATTGCTTGAACCCAGAAGGTGGAGGTTGCAGTGAGCCAAGATAGCGCCACTGCACTCCAGCCTGGGTGACAGAATGAGATTCTGTCTCAAGGAAAAAAAAAATGCTATATAGTCTTAAAAATCTGACCAAGTGTTGAACAAGACTGCAGTGAACAATGGCACAGTCTCTTGTTGAAGTGTTCAGGAGGCTGGCGCTGGGATTCAATGGTGAGAGTGGCAGCACTCAATTGTGAGATACGAGGAGTCTGGGGACATGACAACTGGTGACAGGCATAGAGGATAGTGTTCTGCAAGACATCCTTCCTAATTCAGAGACTATCTGTTCTATCCCCAATCCCCAGCAACAGAAAGGTGTTTCTTTCTGCCTTAGCCTGTCTAGTTGCATAGGGTCTGTGCATGAGTTTAAGTGTAGATGGGTGAAGGAGATCAAATTTCTCAAAGCTGATTTTCAGGGTTTAGGGAATGAGCCTCTCTCAAGTGTAATGTAACCATAACAGCCTGAAATGCCTAATTGCAATATAGCAATAGATTTCTTTATAAAATGTCAAAGTAGGCAACTCCTCCATGTCCTATAGTTTGCAATTGGGAGTCAAGGGGTGGAGGTCTCAAAAATTATAAACAACTATCTATATGGTGAGAAAGGAATAGGTTTTAGGCAAAGGGATGTGAACAGTAACTTAACTATGTTTCCATCTATAGTTACTATGTGGCTTCATATTCTTTTTTTTTTTTTTTTTTTGAGATGGAGTCCCACTCTGTCACTCAGGCTGGAGTGCAGTGGTGCAATCTCTGCTCACTGCAACCTTCACCTCCCGGGTTCAAGCAATTCTCCCTGCCTCAGTCTCCTGAGTAGCGGGGATTACAGGCATCCACCACCACGCCCGGCTAATTTTTGTATTTTTTAGTAGACACAAGTTTTGCCATGTTGGCCAGGCTGGTCTTGAACTCCTGAGACATGAAAAGAGACTCCTGAGACAAGAAAAGAAACCAGCCACATGGAAGTCTCAGCTGTTCCACGTTAGAACAGCTTTTAATTTCTTACATTCCAAGTCTGAGATCTCTAATGAGGTCCAGAATCTAAGAGCCACACCCTTGAAGAAAATATCTGTGCTCTCTGATGGAGTAGCCACTAGCCACCAGTAGCTGTTCAGATTTAAGTTAAATGAAAATTTAGCCCCTCAGTCACACTAGCCACATTTCAAGGACCCAATAGCCACATGAGGCTAGTGGCTACTGTATTGGACAGCACAGATATAATTTCCACCATTGCAAAAGTTTGACTAGACAACTCTCGTCTAAATTGGTGATCTGGTGACCTACTCTGGTGATCTGCCCACCTCAGCCTCCCAAAGTGCTGGGATTACAGGCATGAGCCACCACGCCCAGCTGTGGCTTCATTTTCTACAGAATGAGAGCGGTTGCTAAGTTTTTAATACATTTTCATTAAAACTAAATTTTTCAACTCATGAATAGTGGTTATGGAGAGAGAATCAACTTCTGTTCATTTTTGTGCAAAAACCTACCATTATGTTGTCTGTAGTATGTTTCTAAAAATATCATTTGTAATTTACTATGTGATTTATAACGAAGCTAAATATAAATTAACTTCATTAACTATGTACATGATCATGACACTGAATTACTTTCAGAGACCAAGAAAGTAAAATTAAAAACAAATACTATGAGGGACCTAGTCCAGCTAACAATACACCTCTGATAGGCATTAGCTGAGGATCGATCCCCAGTACATTGCCCCTTCTGTCAAGCGCTATGCCCCAGTTCCGGATAAAGGTCCCTGGTCATTCAGAGAAAGGTTTTTTGTTTGTTTGTTTGTTTGTTTTAATGCAGTGGTGAGAAAAAGTAGTAATCAATAACCAGAGTAAGGAAATTTGAATATAGCACTCAGCTAAGGGGTGTATTCATTTCTTCCACACACTTAATGGGCATCTAGTATATGCCTAGGAATGTTGTAGGTGCTGTGGATACAGCAGCAAACACAGCAGGCAAAGCCTCTCCTTTCATGCAACAGACATTTTAGTCTGTTGGGGGCAAGAGAACAAAAAGTATATGTCAGATGCTAAGTACTATGAAGAAATACAAGGGGAAGGAGCTGGGCAGCGAAGGAGGGTGCTGTTCTACAGAGGCAGTAGGAGACCTCTTCACAGAGAAAGTGAGATTGCAGCAGAAACCCCTTCCAAGTAAGGGAGCTTGCATGCAGAGATCTGGGGGCAGTGTGCCCCAGTAGATGCCAATGTCAATATGGAGAGAATCAATAAGAGTCCAGAGAGAACCTATTGTGTGCTTGGTATTGTGCTGCACAATATCCCCCTGGAGGATAAGGAAGTACAGCCATGACAGTAAGAAGGAGAGGTCATGCACTCATGAGCACCTGGGTACTGGAATCGTGCTGCCTGGGTGACTCCGCTATTACCAGCTAGGTGACCTCAGGCAGGTTCCTCAACAACCCTAATGTCTCAAATCCCTCAAGTATAGAATGGGTGGAATAAGAGCAGGACAACTCCTTGGAGTTGCTGGGAGGGCTAATGAGTGAATGTGTGGAACGTCCTTAGCGAGCACTCACTCAGCGTTAGCTGTGAGCATCGTGATTACAGTACTTTCTCCCCATTTCTGATCTGAACCCCTCTATGGCATCCGATCATACTGAAATGATGAGCTTTATGCTTCCTGATCTTCTAGGTTCTCTACATCAGTGGTTCTCAATTGGAGGCAATTTTGTCCCACAGGGAACACTTCAGAATGTCTGGAGACTTTTTTTATTTTATTTTATTATTTGAGTTGGAGTCTCACTCTGTAGCCCAGGCTCTGAGTGCAGTGATGTCATCTTGGCTCACTGCAGCTTCCACCTCTTGGATTCATGCAATTCCCCTGCCTCAGCCTCCTGAGTTGCTGAGACTACAGGTGCACACCACCACGCCTGGCTAATTTTTGTGTTTTTAGTAGAGATGGGGTCTCACTATATTGGCCAGGCTAGTCTCAAAACTCCTGACCTCAAGCGATCCACCCACCTCAGCCTCTCAAAGGGCTGGGATTACAGGTGTGAGCCACTGTACCCAACTATATTTTATTTTTAATGGATAATTGTTTATATTTATCTGTAGACATTTTTGGTTGTCACAACTGGAGGGTGGGGGATTCAGTGTTACTGGCATCTACTGGGTAGGGGACTGGGATGCTGCTAAATAAACATCCTATATTTGTTTCCTATAACAAATAATTATTTGGTCCAAAACGTCAAGAGTGCAGCTGTTGAAAAGCCCGTCTACATCAACCAGGGATAAGGATAAATAGCTGATGACTCATATGGATTTCCCAGGGGTAAGGATAAAGAGCTTGGTTTATGATGCATCATAAAAGAACAGGGGTCTTTTTCCTCTCAACGTGTTTCCATCAGCAGCAGTTAGCCATTGAAATCCACACTGTTTTAGAGCAGAGCAAGAGCTAACACTGAAAGGTACCTCATTCCTTTTTTTTTTTTTTTTTTTTTTTTTTTGAAATGGAGTCTCACTCTGTCCTCCAGGCTGGAGTGCAGCGGCACGATACCTATTACATACCTACATACCTGTTACAGTCTGTCAGGAGAGTATTTTGATATTCCTCAACAAAATCCTTATCCCAGGGATAAGGATAAAGAGCTGATGACTCAAATGGATTTCCCTTTCATCCAATCTCATTCAAACAGCTATGCCACCAGCTCAAATGTCCTGACTGGGAAGATAGAACCGGAGCTTTTTGATACCCGCTCCATTGGTAGCCATCTCAAGAGGAGAGTGGTAGAGTAGTTGTTATAAAACTACAGAGCTGCATCACATGAGGTGGACCAAGAAGAGACTGGGGAGAGGAGGCGAGGTGCAGCCAGCCTTCCTGGGACCAGTCACTCACCGTGCCTTAACTAGTCATGGCTCACGTCCACCCTAATTCAGGCAGCTGTGGCCAGAAGAGGAAAGGGTTTAAAGAAGCAAGACGTGGCTGGGTGCAGTGACTCAAGCCTGTAACAGCACTTTGGGAGGCTGAGGCAGGTGGATCACCTGAAGTCAGGAGTTCTAGACCAGCCTGACCAACATGGAAAAACCCCATCTCTATTGAAAATACAAAATTAGTTGGGTGTCGTTGCACACGCCTGTAATTCCAGTTACTCGGGAGGCTGAGGCAGGAGAATTGCTTGAACCCGAGAGGCAGAGGTTGCGGTGAGCCAAGATCGCGCCATTGCACTCCAACCTGGGCAATAAGAGGGAAATTCTGTCTTAAAAAAAAAAAGAGGCAAAACATGATCATTTAGGGCCTCAGGTAAAATGGGCAGGACAAATGAAGTCTGCAGCAAATGTGCTGGACAAACACGTGTAAGTGACTGGGAACAGTGACAACCATTCACGAACGCCAAAAAGCTCTGTAGGTACCTCAGGATTGAGACCAGTGTTTCTCTTTTTCTCGTTATCATCCCCCCACCATCACTCCAGCGAGCCCAATAGACATTATTTTTCCAATCACCACCAACCCCCATACAAAATTTTAATATCACAAATATACTGTTGGAACTGATGGTGGCTCACGCCTATAATCCCAGCACTTTGGAAGGCTGAAGCAGGTGGGTCACTTGAGCTCAGAAGTCCAAGACCAGCCTGGGCAACATGGTGAGACCCTGTCTCTACAAAAAAAAATACAAAAATTAACTATGAGTTTGTTAATGTGCACCTGTAGTCCCAGCTACTCATGAGGCCAAGGTGGGAGGATCTCTTGAGCCTGTGAGGTCCAGGCTGCAGTGATCCATGATTGCGTCACTGCATTTCAGCCTTTGCAATGGAGTGAGACCCTGTCTCAATACAAAACAAAACAAATATACTGTTAATTTATTTATGCCAGGTGCGGTCCCACCTGTAATCCTAGCACTTCAGGAGACTGAGGCGGGAGGATAACTTGAGGCCAGGAATTTGAGATCAGCCTGGGCGACAGGGTGAGACCCTGTCTAAGAAAAAAAAGAAAAATTAAATTTTATATTGCTAGTTTAAAATAACATTTTCTCTTATTATTGATGAAAATTAACATTTTAAATGGTATCTCACTGTATTCATTAAAGTAATGGTAATTGTTACAACAAACGATACCAAATGCTTGATAGCTCAAACACAACTGAAGTTTTTTCTTGCTCAAATGAAGACCAATATAGTCAATAAATGGCTCTTCTCCAAGCAGTAACTGAAGCACCCAGGCTCCTCTCATTCTATAGTCCTGCCATCTTCAACTCAAGGAAGCACTGGTCCAGTGTTTGTAAAGGGATTACCAAGACAGTATGGAGGCCCTAGTGAGGCCAGAGACCAGGTACCAGTGGCACCCGTTTACCTTTATTTTTACTTTAAGTATAGAAATGGAGAAGGTTCAGGATCAGATTAATCCCAGGGAGAGGCTCTGCACAGTAGATGCTATACAATGATAAGGAAGCTAAGAAGTGGAGATCGCTGGCGGGAAGGTGGGCAGAGTACAGCACCATGGGGAAACAAAAGAAGTGTAACAATGCAGGGGAGTTAATGGACTTGGGAAATGTTTGAAGAGATCAGAGGGCTGAACGATGTCCAGGTGTCTTACTGTGAGTCAGTTGGAGAGTGAGCAGCTTGCGGTTAGAAAGTTATATGACAGGGCTTAACACTCCTAAGATAGTCTATTCCTAAGAATAGTTCAGATGATGACAAGGAACACAGGTGTGGCTTTGGGAGTGGGTGGCCATTGCGGGGTAGAATGTATAGCTCCTCAGGTTTGGAATAAGCAAGGGGACTTGACGTTAGAGTTTGGGTGAGGCCATCCACGGATGTTGAAATTGCCCACATATCAGGCCCTAAATAAATAAGGTAGTGTGCACAGAAATGATATAAAGTAATGCAGCACATCTTTCAAAGGAAGCTGGTTATTGTGTGAGTCTGGGGAAGTACCTATATGAAAAAAACAGTAAGTTAGAATCTGGGTTTCGTGGCAAAAAGGTTGTTTCAAACAGTGACTTTAGGGAAAGAGCCAAGTTACATTTAGGGCAAAGAAGTAAACGGTTTGATAATGGCAGATAATTTTACCTGCTATGGAACAAATATTTTAAGCAGGGGAGGATGGAAGGAGGAAACATCAGGATGGAAGGATGTAAAGGAAGTATAGAGATTTCCAAAGCAACATCACAAGACAGATATCTAACAAACATTTTTTCACATTCAGAGCCAAGCTTGCAAGAGAGTACATGAATCCCCAAAGAAGCCAAAACAAAGAGGGGCCTGAAAATTCGGAAAATAAGAGTATGCTTATGCTGGTACTATCTCAGTAGTCATGGGTTTCGAGTTTAACATGAGTGGAGGAGGACTTAGACCCATATAAGGCAGGGAGTTAAAATTTAGACCTCTCCACAAAGCCAAGACCTTCCAAATGTTAAGTCTGAGTAACAAGACGGATTAAAAAGAAATATTTCTTATTCTGTCCCCTGGGAAGGAAAAAGAAAATTCTCCACGACAGTTTGTAAGCACAGGCAGTCCTTTACATGAGTTTAGTGTTCAAATGTGTCCTACCTGTATGGTCTGGAAACCCTGAAGTTGAGAAATTCACTGAAAAGTGATCCTGATCCATTACATCTGCAGTTTTAATACTAGAAAAGAAGAAGAGAAGGGCATTGTGGAACAACTAGCAACCTGCCATATCAGTCTGTACTTTTGTGGCAGAGAAGTATGATCAATAAAATACTTTCAAAGATAAGGATAACATTAAGGTAAAACTGGGGTCAAACATAAAGTAGAAATACAAGACGAAAAAATAAAATTATCCTAGCACTTTGGGAGGCCAAAAGGGTCACTTGAACCCAGGAGTTTGAGACCAGTCTGGACAACATAGTAAGACCCCAGCTCTGCAATAAATACACAAATTAGGTGAGCACGGTGGTGTGTGCCTGTGGTCCCAGCTACTCGGAAGGCTGAGGTGAGAAGATTACCTGAGACCAGGAGGTCAAGGCTGCAGGTAGCTGTGATTGTGATCGTGTCATTGCACTCCAGCCTGGGCAAAGAGCAAGATGCTATTTCAACAGCAACGAAGAAGGTAAATTTCTGTAAATATCCAATATTATCTCTGTTGAAAAATGCATGCTCTAGTTAAATGAACAAGTAAAATGACACTACAAGGAAGCAAACAAACACATCCAGAATGTAGGATATTTTATAAGACAACTATTTCTGCAACAAGTCAATGTTATGAAAAGAAAAGAAAAAAATAGGAGCTTTCTCTAAATTCAGAGAGATTTAAGCTTAAGACATAAAACTGAAGGGTAATGATTAGATTTTGTTTGGATCCTGATCCAAATAAACCAACTATAAGAAGACATTTTGGAGGCAACCAAAAATATCTGATTATTTAATGTGATGTAGCACTGTGGTTAAGAAATTATGTGTTTAGACATGTGTACCGAGGTGTATAGGGAAAACTAACATGATGTTCAGGATTTGCTTTACAATCTTTTGGCAAAGAAAATAAGAAAAAGAAGGAAGGGACAAATATGGCAGTATCTTGAGAGTCATTAAATCTGAATGATGCGTATATTGGTGCGAATTATACTACTGCTGCTACTTTTGTATATGTTTGAATTTTTTTTATTATTATAGGGAGCACATGAACAAAAAAGTGTAAAAACCACTAGTTTAGCACATACGCTAATTCTGCTATTTACAGAAACATCTCAGATGTTTTTCTAGAAATTTCTTCTTGCTCCCAGTGTGGACGCCCAACTGAAACTTTGCCCTGCTTCCATTATGAAATGCCAAAGTCAGTAAAAATAAGCACTTTGTACTCTTAGATGAAACAACAATGATGAGGTCACCCCATCTAGTTCTAGTTCCCAAACTAAGTGATTCCTGTACATGTGCACTCCTTAACTTTAAAAAAATGAAGTTATCTCTGCCTTTTAGAATGATTATGTCTGAAATGGCGTCACAATGTTTGTGACTATGATGAACATGAGAAAAGATTACTGTTTTCCACCATGAACAGATAGATACAAACTGGTAATCTTATATGATTTTTCTTCTCTTTAAAAACCTAAAAATCCTTTAAATGCCACACAGCTATTTGAGTTGATCTTTCCAGAGTCTGACTCCTTTATATCTTCTTTCTTCACACAAAAAAAACAGTATTGCTGAGATACGATCTACATGCTACACAACTCACCCACTTAACTTGTACAATTCAATGGTTTTTAGTTTCTTTAGAGTTGTGTAACCATCACCATTATCAATTTTAGAATATATTCATCACTCCAAAATGAAACTCTGTACCCACTAGCCATTGCTGTCCATCTCCCACATATGCCCTCACCCCAGCTGTAAAAGTAACTAATCTATTTTCTGTCTCTAGGAGTGATATGGTTTGGCTCTGTGTCCCCACCCAAATCTCATGTTGAATTGTCATCCCCAGTGTTGAAGAAGGGGCCTGGTGAGAGGCGATTAAATCATGGGGGCAGACTTCCCCCTTGCTATTCTTGTGAGAGAGTTCTCCCAAGATCTGCTTGTTTAAAAGTGTTTAGAACCTCCTCCCACCCCCACTGGCCACGTGAAGATGTGCCTGCTTTCCCTTCACCTTCTACCATGTTGTAAGTTTCCTGAGGCCTCCCCAGAGGCAGAAACCTATACAATTTGCAAAACCATTAGCACAATTAAACCTCTTTTCTTTATAAATTACCCAGTCTCAGGTATTTCTTCATAGCAGTGTGAGAATGCACTAATACAGAAAATTGGTACCATACAAGTGGGGCATTGCTATAAAGATACCTGAAAATGTGTAAGCAACTTTGGAACTGAATAATAGGCAGAGGTTGGAACAGTTTGGAGGGCCCAGAAGACAGGAATATGAGGGAAAGTTTAGAACTTCCTAGAGGCTTGTTGAATGGTTGTGACCAAAATGCTGGACAGTGAAGTCCAGGCTGAGGAGTTCTCAGAAGGAGATGAGAAACTGTGAAACCCTAATATCTGAGACCATTCTCAGTGAATTTAGAAAGTCTATTTTGCCAACATTGAGGACACACACCCATGACACAGCCTTAGGAGGTCCTGACGACATGTGCCCAAGGTGGCTGGGGCACAGCTTGGTTTTATACATTTTAGGGAGACAGAAAACATCAATCAACATACATAAGGTAAGCATTAGTTCTGTCTGGAAAGGCAGGACAACTCAAGCAGGGAGGGGACTTCCAGATCACAGGTAGGTGAGAGACAAATGGTTGCATTCTTTTGAGTTTCTGATTAACCTTTCCAAAGGAGGCAATCAGTGTGCATTTACATCAGTGTGCATAAGGATGACTCTGAATAGAATGAGAGGCAGGTTTGCCATAAGCAGTTCCCAGCTTGACATTTCCTTTTAGCTTAGTGACATGGGGTCCCCAACATGTATTTTCCTGTCACAGAACTTACTGGAACTGGAGTAAAGGTTACTCTCACTATGCTTTAGCAGAAAGACTGGCGAAATTGTGACCCTGCTCTAGGGATCTGTTGAACTTTGATTTTGAGAGAAATGAGTTAGGGTGCCTGGCAGAATAAATTTCTAAGCAGCAAAGAATTCAAGATATAGCCTGGCTGCTTCTAACAGCATACACTCATATGCATGCACAAAGAGATTATCAGAAACTGAAACTTATATTTAAAAGGAAAGCAGAGTATAAAGGTTCAGAAAATTTGCAGCCAAGCCATATGGTAGAAAAGTAAAACCCATTATCTGGGGAGGAATTCAAGCTGGCTGTATAAATTTGCATAAGTAAAGCAAAGTTGAATGTTAATAGCCAAGACAATGATGAAAATGCCTCCAAGGCATGTCAGAGACCTTCATGGTAGCCCCTCCCATTACAGGCCTAGAGGCCTAGGAGGAAAAATTGATTTCATGGATTGGACCCAGGGACCCACTACTGTGTGCAGCCTTGGGACATAGTGCCCTTTGTTCCAGCTGCTCCAGCTCCAGTTGTGGCTAAAATAACCCCAGATATGCCTTAGGCCACGGCTCCAGAGGGTGCAAGCCAAAACCTTTGGTGACTTCCATGTGATGTTATGCCTTCAGGTGCACAGTGGGCAAGAGTTGTAGCTTAGGAGCCTCTGCCTAATTTCAAAAGATATATGGTGATGCCTGGATGTCCAGAGAGAAATCTGCTGCAGAGACAGAGACCTCATGGAGAACCTCTACTAGGGCAGTGCTGAGGGGAAATGTGGAGTTGGAACTCCCACACAGAATCCTCACTGGGGTACTGCCTAGAGGAGCTATGAGAAGAGGGCCACTGTCCTCCAGACCCCAGAATGGTAGATCCACTGATAGCTTGCATGCACCTGGAAAAGCTGCAGGCACTCAACACCAGCCTGTGAAAGCAGCCATGAGGGCCGTACCCTGCAGAGTCACAGAGGCAGAGCTGCGTGACTCTGGAAGTGCGTGGACTTTGCGTGGACTTTGGAAGTCCACCCCTTGCATCAGTGTGGCCTGGATGTGACATATGGAGTCAAAGAGATAATTTTGGAGCCTTAAGATTTAATTACTGCCCTGCTGGGTTTTGAACTTGCATGGGACCTATAGTCCCTTCATTTTGGCCATTCTCCCTTTTGGAAACAGAGTATTTATGCAATGCCGATACCCGCGTTGTATCTTGGAAGTAACTTGTTTTTTATTTTACAGGCTCATAGGTGGAAGGGACTTGCCGTGTCTCAGCTGAGACTTTGGACTGAAGACTTTTGAGTTAATGCTGAAATCATTTAAGACTTTGGGGGGCTGTTGAGAAGGAGTGATTGTATTTTGCAGTGCGAGAAGTACATAAGATTTGGAAGGGTCCAGGGACAGAATAATATGGTTTGGCTCTGTGTCCCTGCCCAAATCTCGTGTCGAATTGTAATTCCCAGTGTAGGAGGAGGGGCCTGGTAGGAGGTGACTGAATCATAAAAGTGGACTTCCCTCTTCCTCTTTTTGTGATAGAGTTCTCCTAAGATAAGCTTGTTTAAAAGTGTGCAGTGCCTACCCCTGCCTCCAGCCAGCCACGTGAATATGCGTCTCTTCCCTTTCGCTTTCTGCCATGATTTTAAGTTTCCCGAGGCCTCCTCAGAAGAAGAGGCTTGCACAACCCACAGAATTGTGAGCAGAGTTAGACTTCTTTTCCTTATAAATTACCTAGTCTTAAGTAGTTTTTTATAACAGTGCAAGAACAGAGCAATACAATAAGTTTGCCTATTCTGGACATTTACATACATGGAATCACACAACCCATAGTATTTTTTATTACTGACATTTTTAAGATTCTTCCATGTATTATAGTAGCATGAATTAGTACTACATTCCTTTTTGCTCCTGTATGATATTCCATTGTATACATACATCACATTTCATTTATCCAATATTTGGGTTGTTTCCATTTTCTCCTGGCTGTTATAAATAATGCTGCTATGGACATTTGCATGAAAAGTTTTTTGGACTTTTTTTTTAAGAGACAGGGTCTGGCTCTGTCATCCAGGCTGAAATATAGTGGTGCTAACATAGCTCACTGCAGCCTCAAAATCTTGAGCTCCAGTGATCCTTGTACTTCAGTCTCCCAAGTAGCAGAAACTACAGCTACTGCACCTAGCTCTTTGAAGATTTGTGTGT